TTTTTTTTTTTTTTTTTTTTTTTTTAATGTGTGATATATTGAAACTTGAGTGTTAAGTATTAATGTATAATCAACATTTAAAAAAAAAAATTGTTACATGCTTAAAGGTTAGTTTAATATTAGGAAGAAAACTTTAAATATAATTGATTATAATTTTAGTTTTTAAAATATAATTATTTTTTTTCTAAATAACATAATAAGAAAAAATTATTTTTGAGTAGATGTAATAGATTATTAATATACTTTAAGTCATTTAACTAAATTTGTTAATATGGATTAGAAAATAAAAATTTTGATTTTTTTTTTAAATTGGTAAGTAAGACAAATTGATCTACTTTGTCACTCCTAATCACACATTGATACCATCGTTATCACCATTACCATTATTATTGTCAACATTATTGATATCTTAATTGCATTTATCATCATTATTACCATTGTTGTAACCATGCTATGATAATGTGAGGTGTTGACGATAATGAAAAACATGATAGTGATAATGATAACAATGATAATAGTGATAATAATGATAATAGTAATGACAATGAGATAATGATGATAATAGTAATGGTTGTAGTAAAGGTGCTAGTGGTGTCCTAGAGAGCGGGAGAAAAAGCATAACTTTCTTTAGTGGTAAGAAATACACTATAATAACAAGATGAGATAGGTAAAAGAATAGGAAAAATTTATCCTATTTGTGTACCAAACAACTAATTATAGTAGGATAGGATAATTATATTATCATATTATATCTTAGTCACCATACCTTAGTGAATTTTAATTAAATTCTACAAAAAAAAAATTATTTTTTTTAATCGACATGCATTATGAATGTAAAATATTGATTACTTATATATTGTATTGAAAGATATCTATATGAAAAGATAACTCTATTTCTATTCTATTTGTATTTTTTTTGTTAGTATTAAATTCGTTTTAGTTAGTGATCTTGATTCAGTTAATTCTTTCTTTCTTGGTGAACAACTAGCACTAGTCTTATATTTTATCTCTATGGACCAAGAAGAAAGAGAGTTCAACGACAAGAGGATTATAACATGAGAGGAGTAAGAATGTCAACCTTTTTCAAATATATAACATGAATTCTAGAAATACAATGTGATTGGACGATTTTTCTCTTCTATCTTTGTCCTCATCTCGTAAAAAGAACATTTGATTCAAAGAAGAATCAACATTTTCTTCTATGTATTTGTGTGAATTTATGTAATTATATTTCAATTCCTTCTTGGTAATATTATATACTAATCCAAAAATTATAATAGAAAAATAATTCATAAATTACACGAGGAAAGAAAAAGAGAGGTTTGAGATGATTTTTTAATCTTCTGTGACTTAATTAATTAAAAAATCATTCTTGCTAATTTTTTTAAAATAATTGTTATAAATGTTGTTGAACTAATTACATCATCATATGTAATAATTTATTATTAAATGACAATGTAAAAAAATATTTGCATAATTAGTGTATATATTATTAATCCAAAACAAATAGTAGTAAATATAACATTTTTTTGGTTTGACTTTAATATATTATCTTCATAAAATTCCGTTCATCTTAAATATGTGTTTTAAAATAATTATTATAAAAATGGATATTTTTTAATTATATGAGAATTCAATTTTTTTAAAAATTAAATCATTTTTTTATTTTTAATTAAAAATTACCTCCTCAAGTTGTAATTCGAGCAATTTATCTTTTCAAATTTCAAGCATTTAGAATTTTTTTAGTTAGCAATTTTTTTTCTTATATGAGATCTTTGATAAGTTGATATTTTACTATTCACTTTATGGTTTGTGGTAAATTTACTTTGAAGAGTCAAAACTCAAAATAATTATTAAAGGAATAGTCGATCACAGTGGATTAGCGCGTCTGACTTCGGATCAGAGTAGTAATCTATTGGGTTGACTGGTTGTGCACATTTGATTATAAATTTTTTGACCTCATATTTCTTTTTTATATAAAAGTATATATAGATTTATTAAAAAAAAATATATAAGATGGATTAATTTGACTTAACTATTTTTCAAACTTTAGTCAATTGATTTGGATCGAATGATCCATTTTTACATGCCTTCTAATTATTCCTATAATATATATA